CTCTAATCCCAGCTACTCGGGAGGCTGAGGCAGAATGGTTGAACGTGGGAGGTGGAGGTTGCAGTGAGCAGAGATCATGCCACTGCACTCCAGCCTGGGCTAGAGTAAGACTTCGTCACAAAAAAAAAAAAAAGTCAAGTCTAAGCAACCAGGAAACATAAAGGTAACTAAATTTTCATGTGATCTCTCCTAAACCTTTTAGGTTAGAGAAAATGTTGGCATATAAACCTTAGTCACACAGTTGTATTAAGGTAGTTGCAGAAATATTTTGTTCTGTGGTTAGACCATTAGTTTAAAAATTCTGGTGTGGAATTCAGTTTCCAGCTGGATGCATCAATGCCCTGGTAAGCTTGACTTAGATTCCACAGATTTGGCATGGGGCTCAGGCATATTTATATTCTAATGCTTCTCCCCAGGTGGTTGAAATGTGCAATCAGGTTTCAAAACTGTGTTTAAAGATCTTAGGCTTTTGACAGTCAGGTAGAGATACATGTAGGTTTTTACTTTACCGTTATAACTGAAGAGTAACTTGTGTTCAGTAACATCAAGGCAGGCTAATTGGCCTGCTCAGAAACTTGGCATTGTTCACTCAGTGAATCCATTCAAGTAAGTCATAATTTTTTATTTATTTATTTATTTTCGGAGACAAAGTTTTCCTATGTTCCTCAGGCTGGTTGAACTCTTGGGATCAAACAATCCTCCTCACCTCAGCCATCCAAGTAGCTGGAACTGCAGGTGCATGCCATCATGGCAGCTAATTTTTTATAGATAGAGAGAGAGAGAGAGAGAGAGACAGGATCTTGCTCTGTTGCCCAGGCTGGTCTCAGATTCTTGGCCAAATGAGTATCCTGCCTTGGCCTCCCAAAGTGCTGGGCTTACAGGCCAAGGAGCCGCAGCACCCTGCCTAAATAAGTTAAAAACTTTTTTGAAGGATAAAAGAGATCAGCGTTAGGAAGAAAATTATATTTCATTTTATTTTAATTTGAAATAAAATGTGCTCGCTTCGGCAGCACATATACTAAAATTTGAAATAAAATGGCAGCTCTCTAAATTGATCCAATGATTCCATGTATTTTTAATATATTTTATTTTTATTTTTTGTGGAGAGGAGGGTCTCAGTATGTTGCCCAGGTTGGTCTCGAACTCCTAGGCTCAAGTGATTTGCCTCTGCCTCCCAAAGTGCTGGGGTTACAAGCATAAGCCACCACGCCCAGCCTAAAACATTCTTTACAGTTAGAAAACTAGTTCTTTTTCAGGCAGGCAACAATAGTAGTTATATTGAATCAAATTATTTGTCTGAGAGGACAGTTTGAATTATTTAATTATCTGTTTGACCTTGGACTTGCTATTCACTCTGTTGAATAAGGGTGTCTTGATATATCTTACTTTTCCTACTTAATTAAGCGATGCTGTATCTTTAGCTATTGGCAGCCCTATTATGAGGAATAGTCTTTTGAGATATCTCAGATCATTGAAGATTTCAGTTGTGAAACTTCACCCTCCATATATTTAGACAATCATTTTACAGATAATAGTCTGTGTAGTTAGTATTTGTAAGGGGTCGTGCTGTTATTTAGAAACAAATATGATCCTGTCTTCAAGAGATTATATTGTAGGAAAGGGAGAGTTAAAATGGTGTCTTAGTTGGCTGCTGCTGCTTATACATGCCTTTCTTTTCCATTGACTAGGCTTTCTCTTCCCTTTGCTCAATTACTTCTGAGCCATCTTTTTTTTTTAAGTATACCTTTCTTTCCAAGACTGGCTTTAAAAGGATACCTGATCTGCCAAGATATCCAGGAAAATAAGTACCCAGACAGCTTTGGGGAGTTTATTGCAATTACGTATACTTTAATAAAATTTATACATAGGATGTTCTAGCCACTTAACCATAGTTTCATAGTAATTCCCTTTCCCTTTGACCACTTAGTTGCGATCTTGTAGCTTTGAAGTCTGTTTGTGTGAGTAGAGTAAATAATAACTTACCTTTAGCATTCTTCATAAACATATGATGAGTCCCTTAGGTCTCTAATCTAGTTATTTGATGAAATCCTCTCATTTTTTCTGAAAGAGTGTTCAAGGTAAGCATCTCTTGGTATTAGCAGTATTACTCTGTTGAGTAGTACAGTAAATTGGAACCACTCCCCCCCCGCCATTTTTTCTTTCTTCCCACTCACTCTCACTCCTTTTTATCTTTTTATAGTTTACTGCTTTCTCCACCATGTGCCAAGCACTGCATTAGGTAGTAGAAATAACTAAGTGAATGTTCAATAAATGTTGAACTTAATCATGTGCTACATACAGAAAACAGTAAGCTGTAAACCATTTTACCAAGCCTTTACAATCTGTTGAGCCAAATATATATATATATATATGTATATGTATATTCAAGAAATTATAGTAACATATAATAAACAGTACGTATAAAGTAGATATAAATGGGATATTTTGGGAACCTAACAGGGTGTCATACCGACCAGATTGACAGACAATGGGAAATAACAGGCCTTTTCTTTAAGATGAATTATTTGATTAAAAGTTAACATAGTAGGGAACTTATGAAGTAGGAGTTTTCCCACAGTTCTTAAAATTTATTTATTTATGGGCCGGGCGCGGTGGCTCACGCCTATAATCCCAGCACTTTGGGAGGCCGAGGCGGGTGGATCACGAGGTCAAGAAATCGAGACCATCCTGGTCAACATGGTGAAACCCCGTCTCTACTAAAAATACAAAAAAATCAGCTGGGCATGGTGGCTCGTGCCTGTAGTCCTGGCTACTCAGGAGGCTGAGGCAGGAGAATTGCCTGAACCCGGGAGGCGGAGGTTGCGGTGAGCCGAGATTGCGCCATTGCACTCCAGCCTGGGTAATAAGAGTGAAACTCCGTCTCAAAAAAAAAAAATTTTTTTTATTTATTTATTTTTGAGATGGAGCCTCTCTTTTGCCCAGGCTGTAGTGCAGTGGCGCAATCTCTGCTCACAGCCTCCACCTCCTGGGTTCAAGCGATTCTTCTGCCTCAGCCTCCCAGTTACCTGGGAGTACAGGCACGTGCCATGACACCCAGCTAATTTTTGTATTTTTAGTAGAGATGGATTTTCACCATATTGGCCAGGCTGGTCCCATATGGACCTCCCATATGGACCTGCTAGGGTTCCAGGCATGAGCCACCACATCCAGCCTAGAGGTTTTTTTGGTTTGAAAATATTTCAGAAATTGGCTTAGTTGTTTGCTAACATTTTAGGACATTGGTAATTGAATTTATTCTGTAATAATTGACTTACAATATGTTTCAGCTTTATGAGTGTTTACCATTTTAAATCATACAGTATTAGTCATAGTTGTCTTTAAAGCTGCTTAATAGGCTGGGTGCTGTGGCTCATGCCTGTAATCCCAACACTCTTGGAGGCCGAGGTCAGAAGTTTGAGACCAGCCTGCACAACATAGTGAAACTCCATCTCCACTAAAAATACAAAATTAGCCAGGAGTGGTTTGGAGAAGGAGGTTGCAGTGAGCCGAGATAGTGCCATTGCATTCCCTGGGCAACCAGAGCAAAACTTCATTTAAAAAAAAACCAAAACTGCTTAATAAATGTAAATATAATTCTTGACTTTTTTGAGACGGAGTTTCGCTCTTGTTGCCCAGGCTGGAGTGCAATGACGCGTTCTCGGCTCACCGCAACCTCTGCCTCCTGGGTTCAGGCAATTCTCCTGCCTCAACCTCCTGAGTAGCTGGGATTACAGGCACGCGCCACCATGCTCAGCTAGTTTTTTGTATTTTTTTTAGTAGAGATGGGGTTTCATCATGTTGACCAGGATGGTCTCGATCTCTTGACCTCGTGATCCACCCGCCTCGGCCTCCCAAAGTGCTGGGATTACAGGTTTGAGCCACCGCGCCCGGCCGACATTTTTAAGCATAAAGGGATTCTTCCCAGATTAAAACTGTTCCTAATATTATTACTTTGTTTTTTGGAAGAGTAGGTAGTCCTCATATCTTACATGATACTGCACAAGTAGAGCCCAGCTAACCTTAGGATTCAATAACCTAAAAGTTAAATTCCAGACCCAAGATTGTGTTGACTAGAAATGTATTTCTAAATGTTTTTAAGAAAAAGCAAAGTTACTGGAAATTTTTATATTTGTACCTTTTTTCTCTTTTTCCACTGTCTTCTGGCTATAAGACCGTATTAGGAGAAACAGTGACCCTGTGTAAACCAGAAAATGTAGTTGCTATCTAGATCAAGTAAAGCATAATCTTTGACTCTGAAGACCACCTTTTGTTCACTATGGGTGCTGGCTTAGGTCCCAGACACCAGGTCATAATATTAGAATGGGATGATTCCATGAATCCTTATTTGGATCCAAGTACTTTTATAAGGGTTATCTTGGGGTAATTGATTTTAAATCACTCTAGCAAATCTGCTACCTTACTTCATCATATAATGGGCCGAATCCAATAATTGCTATATCATATTCTGAATAAAGTAAATCTGATTTAGAATCTTTGTGTCTGTTTGGTGTAATTTAATGCTGCTTTCCTGATCTTTCTGCTGTCCACAGAGCCAGAGCCCAGAGGTGGAGCAGTTAGGGAGGGTTGTGGAACTGGACAGTGACATGGTAGATATCACCCAGGAGCCAGTTTTGGATACCATGTTAGAAGAGAGCATGCCTGAGGATCAGGAACCTGTATCTGCCTCAACACATATTGCATCTTCACTGGGAATTAATCCACATGTCTTACAGGTGAAGTCCTAAACCATCTTTTTTACGACAGAAAACCAAACTAATGTTTTATCTCTATTGCCTAGGATCAGGTCTCTTTCTTGGTTATTAACACCATTGAGTGCTCACTGTAATGGAAGAAAAAATACAAGAATTTGGCCAATGTCTAGGCCTCATTTTCTTATTCAAGGAGAGAAGGCTATATTGAGAACTAGTAGATTGAGCTTCTGGTTTTAACTGCATTAGAATCCAGAGACCTAGTTCCAATCCCAGTTTTGTTGTGTTTTGTTTTTGAGATGGAGTTTTGCTCTGTCGCCTAGGCTGGAGTGCAATGGTGCGATCTCAGCTCACTGCAACCTCCACCTCCCTGGTTCAAGCAATTATCTTGCCCCAACCTCCAGAGTGGCTGATACTATAGCATGTGCCAGCACACCTGGCTAATTTTTTGTATTTTGATTAGAGATGGGGGTTTCACCATGTTGGCCAGTCTGGTCTTGAACTCCTGACCTCAGGTGATCTGCCCACCTCAGCCTCCCAAAGTGCTGGAATTACAGGCATGAGCCACTGCTTCCAGCCCCAATCCCAATTTTGTAACTTTATTACTTTGTAACTTCAGGCAAGTCATTTAACATCTATACTAAGTGAGTACTGATTTTTCTCTATAAAATATTACTTTGTCTACATCACAGGGTACTTTTAAGTGAGCCACAAAATTTAAAAATTTTAAAACCTGGTAGCACAGGTTTCTTTAAGCTATGTCTTTATTTCCGTTTATCCCAGTGCCTTTTGGCATGTTATGTGTTTAACCTGATTTATATTTGACTTTAAAATTATTTTATCAGCAAACATAGCAACTCCTCTGTGCCAGGCTCTGGCAAGATGCTATACAAAGAAGAAGAGTATTATATGTCTTTTGCCTTTCAAGCACATACAGTGTAATGAGGTCCATCCATCATACAAATATACTAGTTCTGTATACAGCCTTGAGGAGGAGCAATATTTTTGGTTGTTGTAAACTGCATTGTTTTTTTTGTTTGTTTGTTTGTTTGTTTTGGTATGGCCTTTTCATTCTAGGAAGCACATTTATTCTATAGATATTGCCTTTTTAGATCATGAAAGCATCATTGCTTACTGAGGAAGAAGATGTAGATATGGCGCTGGATCAACGCTTCAGTCGCCTTCCTTCCAAAGCAGATACTTCTCAAGAAATTTGTTCTCCCAGACTCCCCATTTCAGCATCCCACTCATCGAAAACTCGTTCACTAGGTACAGTATAAAATAATTTATTTTACAAGAAAGCTATATGGAGTCATCAAGTCCTGCTTTTCACCTTCATCTTCTAACCCAAGTGGACTTCTCTAGCAAGTATCTGCCAAACAACTAGACCTGTGACATAAGGATGCTAAGAGAAATTTTACTCATAAGTATTCATTAAGAGTAGCCAGGTTTTTGTTTCTGTTTTTGGAGACTGAGTTTTGTTTTGTTGCACAGACTAGAGTGCAGTTATACAATCGAGCTCACTATAGCCTTGAACTCTTGGGCTCCAGCAGTCCTCCTTTCTCAGCCTCCTAAGTAGCTAGGAGTGCAGGCATATACCACCACTGTCAACTAACTATTTTTTTAAATGTTTGTAGAGATGGATCTTGCTATCTTGCCCAGGCTGGTCTTGAACTTCTGGCCTCAAGTGATCATCCTGCCTCAGCCTCCCAAAGTGCTGAGATTACAGGTATGCGTCACTGCACCTGGCAGGAGGGGCCAGTTTTTAAGAACTTTAATTACCTCTGTTTGTGCAGATGCAGAAGTATATGGAGAAAAAAAGCATTTGTGCTTTGTTTAGGTTGATATTTTTGTTTGCTTATGAATGTGGATTAGATAGTAAGCTCTGACTTCCTAATTTTTATATGTGTTACTTAGAGAGTTCAGCAAGTTGTCCTGCATTGTACTTTTTTGGTGCAGTCCTATAACAACACTGCCTTGTCTTCTAGGGACAAGTATTGTTTCTCATAATGCACAGAGCACATCACATTTCTGCTTTTCTCTAAACCTTAAAATTCCCAGGGAAATGATTACATATTTGATTTCAAAGTTTTCTCTTTTCTAGTAGGCTTGTTAACTACGTGAGATTGGAAGTAAAGTTTTATTATCAGCAAAGAACTTAAGCAGATGTAGTTTCAAATATTTTGAAAGCCAGAGGAGGTGGCAGAGAGACATTTGTTCATATTGCCTTAAAAACTAAATATTTATTTTTCAGTTCTTTTGAATTCCCTTATTATCAACTTTGCTTTTTAAAAATGTTTTAAATTTCCCTTTGGTGTAGAGAAAAAAAAGAAAAAAGATATTTTAACCAATAAAGTATCAGTTAAACATTCTTAATAACCTTTTCCATAATGGGTACTGCATGAAAATCTCATACTTTAATAACTCTTAACTCCATGCTTTAGACAAAAGCCATATAAAATTGGGCAACAGGCACTATTAATAAGAACTGTCCTTCAGCTGGGCACAGTGGCTCATGCCTGTAATCTTAGCACTTTAGGAGGCTGAGAAAGGAGGATGGCTTGAGGCTAGGAGTTGGAGAGCAGCCTGGGCAACATAGCTAGACTCCATTCCTATAATAGCTAGCTAGCTAGATTAAAAATGTAAATGTTAAAAAAAATTTTTTTTAATGACTGATTTTTAGAAAGTCACATGTGCAATTTTAAGATGCCTAGTGTGTTTTGATTTCACTGACTGTAGCATTGTTTAGAGTAGAACAGGAATTTGAATTTTGATCTTACTTTTATATGTCCTGAGAAATGGTTACCTTTAGGATTCTAACAAGGGCATCAGCAGTGGTGCCAGACTTACCTGGGCTTATCTCCTAGTCCTGTGACTTAGTAGCTTTGTGGATTTGGACAAATCACTTATCTGTGCTCAGTTTTCTCACATAAACATTGGAGAATGATAATAATGCTAATCATTTAAAAGTTTTTGTGGAGTGAAATGAAGTAACATGCATAAATGGCTCATACTGAGTCAGCTGCATATACATGCTAGATCATTTTTTAAATTGTGGTAATAGTGTTGTTGCTTTTATCATTGTTGTTGATATCATCATCATTAGAATTCTTGACCTGATTTCCTAGTTCAAAGAGTAATTTCTGCAAAATCTGACTTAGCCTGCTTCTGGCCATCATCCACATCTGATATAAGTAGTTTGATAAAACATTGAATGATTTCAGCCTTACTGATTTTTGTTATTGTTCAAGAAACAATAGCTTGTGTTTTGTAATAGTCTTTTCCCCTCTTATTCCTTCTTCATTTCAGTTGGTGGGTTACTACAATCAAAATTTACAAGTGGAGCTTTTCTTTCACCAAGTGCCTCTGTGCAAGAATGTCGTACTCCCAGAACAACATCTTTAATTAATATCCCATCTACATCCTCTTGGTCTGTCCCTCCACCCCTGGCTTCTGTGTTCACGATGCCCAGCCCAGCCCCTGAGGTTCCATTGAAAACAGTGGGTACACGTAGGCAACTGGGCCTAGTCCCTCTCGAAAAGTCTGTTACCTATGGCAAGGGAAAACTCTTGATGGACATGGCCCTATTCATGGGACGCTCATTTCGTGTTGGTTGGGGCCCCAACTGGACTCTTGCTAACAGTGGAGAACAGCTGAATGGCTCTCATGAACTAGAAAATCATCAGATTGCTGATTCTATGGAGTATGGATTCCTGCCCAATCCAGTAGCTGTTAAATCGTGAGTCACATTCCTTGATGTTTTTGGAGAAAGGTAACATGATAGGTGAAAGAAACTATTCATATCAGGAGGTTAGGGCCCTGCTTTGTGATCTTTCTAGATACATTCTGCGTTCGTGTGTGCGTGCGTGCGTGTGTGCGTTCATGCGTGTGTTTTGAGACGGAGTCTCGCTCTGTCGCCCAGGGTGGGATGCAGTGGGCATGATCTCAGCTCTCTGCCACCTCCGCCTCCCAGGTTCAGGCTCTTCTCCTGCCTCAGCCTCCTGATTAGCTGGGATTATAGATGTGTGCAACCACACCTAGCTAATTTTCGTATTTTTATTAGAGATGGAGTTTCGCCATATTGGCCAAACTGGCCTTGAACTCCTGACCTCAGGTGATCCACCCACCTCTGCCTCCCAAAATGCTGGGATTACAGGTGGGAGCCACTGTACCCGGTCCAATTTTAAATAGAAGATATTCATGTAATTATAAACAAATGATTAATAAGATGACTGTTTGTATCATGAAATTATGAAGAGTATATAATATGCTTAACTATTTGTGATTTCTTCACTTATAAATGGTATTCTCAACTAAGCACATTTCCTGTGTCTTTTCATAAAGTAGTTGTATGAACTGTGGAGAATCCATATATAAGTATTTGGATATTCTTTAAATATGTATGTATGTTATAGTCTATTCATGTATAGTTACAACTATTCATATATAGTTACATTCTATACCATCCCCACTGTTAACAAGTATATATATGTGGGCATAGTACTGCCTATACTTTATATGTATAATAAATATATATGCTTTATGATCATGTGTACATTTTTCTGGTAGCTATCAGGCAGTATGTATTCAGTGTCCTTTGTAAAATATGTAACATTTCATATTTTTTATAATTATAACAAATTGTGTCATTTTCACTACACATTAAATGAAGATGATCACTATTATCCTTCATATTCATTTATTTTTTATTTTATTTTTTTGAGACAGAGTTTCACGTGTGCAATGGCACGATCTCAGCTTACTGCAACCTCAGCCTCCCAGGTTCAAGTGACTTTCCTGACTCAGCCTCCCAAGCAACCAGGATTACAGGCGTGCACCACCACACCTGGCTAATTTTGTATTTTTAGTAGAGACAGGGTTTCTTCTTGTTGGTCAGGCTGGTCTCAAACTCCCAACCTCAGGTGATTTCCCCCGCCTCGGCCTCCCAGAGTGCTGGGATTACAGGCGTGAGCCACCTCATCCGACCTTAATTACGTATTTTTAAGCAGTGTCTCACTTTGTCATCCAGACTGGTGTGCAGTGGCACAGGCCTCCACCTCCTGGGCTTAAGTGATCTTCATATCTCAGCCCCCCAGGTAGCTGGGACTACAGGTACACACCACCATGCTTGGCCAATTTTTTGTAGGGATGGGCTTTTCACCGTGTTGTCCTGAGCTCAAGTGATTCTCCAGCCTTGGCCTCCTAACTTGCTGGAATTATAGGAGTGAGCCACCCTGCCCAGCCTATCCTTCATTTTTAAAATGACTTTGAAAAAATGAAAAACTACAGTATCTCTTGAACCCCACAGTTAAGAATAGTGATCCTAAATTTAGCTATTAATTCTAGGATAAGTATTATCTTGTGAATTTTGAAGGTTATTAATATCAATCTTAAAAATTGGATCAAGGG